TTCTCATAGTCGCTAATATGTCGTGACGCAAATGCTCTCTCGGCTACAATGGCCGGAATTATTGTCACTAGGCAGCATAACAATATATATCTTACAAAGAATAAGGAAAGCAATGGGATATCGAAGGAACCTAAATAAGTATATTTTTGAATTTTTGATTTTAAGGCAAAGTTTTGAAATGTTAAACTGTTTTATTAACTGCCTCCAGGCTTCTAATATTATTAGACTCTGTTTTAAACAAAATTTGTCATGTTTTACTTAATAGATGATCTTACAGTGATAGCGAATGTTAAGGGAGTTTATTAAGGAAGCGCAGAAAAAAGTCCTCAGTTTTATGAGAACATGGAAGTCTACAAAGCTATCACTATAATTTCACAAATTTTTTAAAGAAAGATCTTTTAGAAAGGCATTATTAAATGTGGAAATAAGAAAAAGTTCCTTACCTTTTTCCTCCACAAAGTCTACCTCATAGAGAAGAATAAAAATGCGTGTAATTTGCGATAGGGTGAAAGCAATGAGATGAACCTAAAGAGGAATATTTTATAAGGTAAGAATTCTTTAAGCATGGCTCTCAGACTTGATAGCTTTTGATTTGAAAAATATAATATTATTGAAAAATGTTAAGGGTTTTTATTTAAAACAAATTGCAGCTTTTCAGAAGATGTAAAGTATCATCGGGAAATTGACGCAATTATAGGGTTAGGGTCAGTTCAAGATTATATTTTATTTAGTGCTCTACCTGTGCGACTTGTATGAGATTCCTATGAAATAATCGCACGGATTTCCCAAGTGCTTTGACGAGTAATACGGCTCCTGGACACATAGCAATAATCAAAAGTAGCTCTAGAAGGTGCAGCAGCTTAAACACTGGCCAGGCAGCTAAAATCTGCTTCGACGGAAATATGGCAGGAACAAAAACTGGAACTCCATTGGCAAGGTAGAACTGCATTGCCTTCAACTACCAGAGTCACTGATCATCAGGTAAGACACGCCTTTTACGACTGGCTAGCCTGTTCGCCAAAAGCGCATTGAGTAAAATTTGAAAACACTACACAGTTCTGAGTAGAAGAGGTTACACCACGCTTGAAAGAATTGTTGGTGAAGCAAAACAGAATAATTGTGACACGAGGAAGTGAGTGGAAATTCATAACAACATCGATTTTCAATTTAACGAATAAAAAAGGGAGCTTCAACAAATTTGCAAAAGCTCCTCTTTTTTATGGGTATCAAATGATTTACAGGATGCATTAAACGTGCACTCCATCTGAGCTCTTTCCAAGACAGAAACAATTTCACTTTACCCTAAATTCTGCTATCCTTTCATTGTCTCCCGAAAAAATCCGACAACATGACACAGCTAAAATGACAAAATGTTAACACTTCCACGGAATATTTTGATCCTTTTTAATTGGAGGCGAAAATAACGGCTATGTGAGGCTATCGACACTCAGATTATTTAACGGCTATATGATCGGCTATGGATACTATGTTTAAAAAACAGTTTCATGCTTCCTCTAGAACAATCGGCAAAAAA